GAGAGAGAGAGAGAGAGAGAGAGAGAGAGAGAGAGAGAGAGAGAGAGAGAGAGAGAGAGAGAGAGAGAGGGAGGGAGGGAAGGGACTGCCCCTTCGCTTGCCCCTTGGTGTTTGACCTGGGACTCTTGACCTTTCAGAAATCGACGGACTGCACTTTCAGCCTTCGAAAGGTCAAGTTAACTCTTCGAGGACTGTTGTAGCCACGACGTAGACAGCTAACCTACGGATCAAGTCCTCATGACCCAAGCTACACACATAAAACATTTGTACATGGTTTTAGGGACAGGTCACGGGTTCTAAAAGGGCCTTTACGATTCAGACCCCTAAATGAGACCCCAATATAAAAGGGGCCCTGTCGGCCAGAATTCCATTTCACGAGCAGCCTTCTAAAGGACAAGTCCGTTGAAGCAAATGTCGCATCCAGAATGAAATGAAAAGTCGTTTTGAAAAGTCACGGACAGGTCCTAGACGAACAGGTGCTGGGTACAAATTTTAAGTCTGAGACAGGGTCATGTCTGTTCGGCAACAAGTCAGACCAGTCACAGTCCCAAGGGTCAAATCTGATTCAAATCTGATTCAGATCAGGAGTCCAAAAGACAGGCCCGTCGGCCAGAGCAGCAGCAGACCATGGGAAAAGATACTGGGACACACACTTTGCAACAACAGGTACTGGGCTGGAGTCCCAGGCACTTGGAGGCCGAATGCAAACCTCGCCAGACCAGTCCAGCGCTATAAAGGACTGGCCAGCCTCCCCATTGGGCAGATACTCATTCGCATGAGAGTGTAGAAGTGCTGAAGGCACTTGTGCGCCAGATGTGATTGAGCTGCACCAGGCTTGAGAGCTGCGCTGAAGGAAGAGAGAGTTGGGCGCTGGCTGGAAGGACGGCAGCCATAGCTGCGCCAGTGCCAGTTAGTATTAGCAGTAGGGATAGTTAGTAGAGAAGACCAGTGAGTAGTATTCAGAGTAGATCCTTGCGTGATAGGGAGTGTGCATGCATGGTGAGTGTGAGTAGACCGGGGCTATAGACATAGAGAGAGAAAAAGAGAACAGAAGAAGAGAGGAGAGAGAAGTGAGTTATGGTAGAACTTACCTGTTGAGCGCTGTTCTTGACGATTGGTTGTGGCGCTGATGAACGCGAGGCTTGGAACTCTTGTTGGATGAAGAAGATTTGTGACATCGTTGGGCGCTCTACTTTTCGAACTCGTGATTCTCTTTCCTTAATCTGGTTATGATACTTGAGTTGCGCTTCCTGGTTTTCACTCATCTTTCATTGAAACTTCGTGTGAGACATTGCAATCTGTGTGATCTCTGTTATATGCATGCTATCTGGTACACCCCAGCAAGTGCCGAACAGGCAGATTCCTTGCAGTTCAAAACACACAGGGTCAACTGTACAGTGGGCTGGGGAAAGTCTTGGTGTCTGCAATATTGTACAAACTGGGTGAAACCCCTTTCAGCTAGCAAAGGTAAACAAAATGAAAAAGAAACGGAAACAACAAGAACAACACCTACTGGCGGGCCTTGCTTGGATGCACCTGACCACAAAAACTTACGTTCAAGCTGTGTCCGGAAACTCCTCGTCTGAGCAATGCCTAACGGCCTACAAGCCTTTGCGTGGCCAAAACAAAACCAAAACCCAAAACTACCAGAAAAGAAAATCTAAGAGAGGGAGACAGACAGACACAGAGATAGAGATAGAGAGAGAGAGAGAGAGAGAGAGAGAGAGAGAGAGAGAGAGAGAGAGAGAGAGAGAGAGAGAGAGAGAGAGCTGTCTCTTATACACATCTAGATGTGTATAAGAGACAGGAGGGAGACAGACAGACACAGAGATAGAGATAGAGAGAGAGAGAGAGAGAGAGAGAGAGAGAGAGAGAGAGAGAGAGAGAGAGAGAGAGAGAGAGAGAGAGAGAGAGAGAGAGAGAGAGAGAGAGAGAGAGAGAGAGAGAGAGAGAGAGAGAGAGAGAGAGAGAGGCGGGGTTCAGCACAGTGGCAGCAGTTACCTCTGCATAAATAGCAGTAAGCGAAGCCATCAAGTCGATGTCTTCTGGAACACTTGTCAGCTCATTGCACGATATCCTGAGTGTTTCCAAGTTGGTCAATTTTTGGCAAAAGGAAGAAGGAAGGCTCTGTTGTCATCAAACAATCATACGAATAGCTCATGCAAGCAACCACCCATGGCACTCCCCCCCCTCTCCCCCTCACACCCACCCCCTACCCCCCAACCATCGCAACATCAACACCCCATGCGAACGCAGTTAGGAACATCATGTGCAGGGGAGACTGGGGGGCGGGGGCCCACAAACAAGCACTCCGAACCATGCCCACAAACAAGCACTCCGAACCATAGTTTGAAGCCATGAATTGGATCTAAGAACAGAACAAGAAACTGGGGCAGGAACAACCACTCCTCACCACAATTCCCAACCACACCCCCAAACATTAGGGCCCCATATGGATAATGCAGTGAGGAACATCATTTGTTGTGTGGCAAACCAGCCTGCCAAACCACAGTTCAAACCATGAACCCGAGCGGAAAACCAAAGCAGGACCAGGAACAGAACGCGAACAAAAGCTGGGCCAGGAGAAAAGAACGAGAACCAAAGCTGAACCAGGAACTGAACGAGGACCAGGAACAACATCCGATGCTGATTACAGACCCAACTGTCCAAATACTGAAACAAACGGAAACGGAAATAAAAGTACAATACACACTAAGTCTTCACAACAGATCCACAGTCCAGGCGCACAAAGAATCCTTCAACTCGATCCAGGAACAGAACAGAAACCAAATCTGAACCAGGAACAGAACAGAAACCAAATCTGGACCAGTGACAGAACAGAAACCAAATCTGGACCAGGAACAGGACAGAAACCAAAGCTGGACAAGGAGCAACAGCCTGCACCTGCGGGCATAGACACCAGTGCAAAAAGTGTAGCATTGCAAACGAACAGAAACAAATACGGCAAATACAGAAACAAATACGGCAAATACAGAAACAAATATGGCAAATAGCCAAGGAATGGCGGGTGAAGCTATCCGATACCCAGCTCCCATAAGCCCTGGTAAAACTGTTCATGGGGTTGGGAGTGCCATCAGGTTGGTCTACTTTTGCGAAGAGGTCCTTTCACCTCCTGCAACAGTACGCCCTATGGAAAATATGGAAGAGGAGATGTCAGCACACAGTAGACAGATGGATACTTTGCATTCCACAAGCACGGGACATCTACAAGGACCTGGTGGAAACGGACATTAGGGCACAGCGGAAAAGGGTGCGTTACAAGAAGCAACAGAACGCAGAGGGAGCCAAGGAAATCCAAATCTGATTTGGGTGGGCGACCCTGGGCGTGGAAAATGGCCACCATTGAGGAATGGGCTTAATCTTTCAGGTTGTACCTGAATTAACACCAGAAGGCCACCAGAGGGAAGTCGGGAGGAGAGATGTTAGGGTGTGATCTATGTATGGTGCGGCAGGATTTAGGGTTCAAGCTTTGGACTGGAGTGCAGTAGGGTTTAGGGTTTAAGGATAAGGAGCATACAGGGGGTTTATGCAGTTAAAAAACGTGAAGAAACCTCAGAGGACAAGCAGCGAACCCAAGAGAGATAGACAAGAGGTAGGTAGGTTAGCAGGCAAGGTCCAAGACCTGTCTCTTATACACATCTAGATGTGTATAAGAGACAGCCATTGAGGAATGGGCTTAATCTTTCAGGTTGTACCTGAATTAACACCAGAAGGCCACCAGAGGGAAGTCGGGAGGAGAGATGTTAGGGTGTGATCTATGTATGGTGCGGCAGGATTTAGGGTTCAAGCTTTGGACTGGAGTGCAGTAGGGTTTAGGGTTTAAGGATAAGGAGCATACAGGGGGTTTATGCAGTTAAAAAACGTGAAGAAACCTCAGAGGACAAGCAGCGAACCCAAGAGAGATAGACAAGAGGTAGGTAGGTTAGCAGGCAAGGTCCAAGACTAAGTATTCAGGCTAACTTAGGCAGGGGTGAGGGGTGGTATATCCTTCCTAAGGGAAGCCATCAATGCCATCCACTCGGGCCTCCCAGCCATAACAGGGAGGAGCGCATTTTTCATGACTTGCCACGGGAATAGGAACCGGAAGGAGCCGGAGCCGGAGAGGTTCCGTTTCAACAAAAAAAAACAAAAATACAAGAGAAGAAGAAGTAACAAAAGTCAACGAGAACCGACATACTTAAGGCGCGAGGTCTCGCTTGCATGTATGAAGAAATACTGGCAGTTGATCTTCGTTATTTACGGACACCGCACAAATCGAGCCTCGGCTGAGGATGTTGTGATAAGCCCATGACGTACTTGTGTTGTGGTTCAGAGTGCAGAATTCAATCCATTGCATACTGCACAGGCTGGTTGGTACGCACATGTAAGTGCTGATAAACAGACCAGGAGTTTGAGTCCTGCTCGATATAGTAACATCAGGAGCTACCCCATGTAATGGACAGCAAGAGGGTAGAGAATGTAACGAATTCGAAGTTCAAACATTGGCGTTCAATTTCGAAATGCCTGGCAAAAAAGACAAGAAAAGAAAAACCCGGCAAGTGAGAATCGTCATCACACAGGTAATGGGAATATCTGAAAAGTAAAATTGAGAGGGGGGGAGGGGGGGGGGGGCGCGGGGCGCGGGATGGATACTGTGTACAGTCCCAATGGAGTCATTCAATAAGCAGACAGTCGAAGAAGGAGCCTCCCCAGCGCTCACCAACAGAAAAAAGAGAGGGTGACCCTTTTTTTTATCACCTGCCTCAAAGTGACAATAATGGATAAATCGGATTTAAATCCCAATTACGATTTGGCTGTGACTACCTGCAGTCAAAAATTGGACCGTCTGCTTTGACGGATGGTGCTCTTTTACCCCAAAACATTTTGACTTCATTTTTTGCACCACAAGTAGATGGAGGTGAGAACTTGGAAACACGGCAACCAAACAGAGCAAGCAAGAAACAAAGAAAGAGAGCAACAGTTCTTGGTGAGGATTCTCACTGATATGTTGTTCCAAGACATGTCCAGCATTCTTAAGTCCCGCATGCCAAGCACCTGCAAAGACAAAACAGAGATGGGGGGGGGTGCAGGAAGAGGGGGAGATGTACGGTGAGACAAGGGGGGAGAGAAAGAGAGAGGACAGGGGACAAAAGAAGGTAACACATGGGGTGAGAGAGAGAGAGAGAATTAGAGAGAGAGAGAGAGAGAGAGAGAGAGAGAGAGAGAGAGAGAGAGAGAGAGAGAGAGAGAGAGGGCGGGGGGGCAAGAGGGTGAGACAACAGGTGAAACAAGGGGTGAGAGAGAGAGGGAGAGGGCAGGGGGGAGAGAGGGTGTGATAACAGGTGAGACAAGAGGTGAGGGGAGGGGAGAGGGGGAGAAAAAAGGTGAGAGAGAGAGAGAGAGAGAGTGGGGGAGAGGGTGAGAGGTGAGACAAGGGGTGAGAGAGAGAGTGGGGGTGGGGACAGGGGGAGGCAGAAGGTAAGACAAGTGGTGAGAGAGAGTGAGGGAGAGGGTGATAC